AATTTATATTTTAGAACATATTAAAATTTTAAAATTTCTTGCAATGATTTAGTGAAAGTCGCTATTAATTATTTATAATATAAAAAACTAGTTTAAACTATAAAAAATTATTAACAATTTTTCATTTTATAAAGTTATATTATATTACAATGAGCCTTTTAATTATTTCTTCTTCAGTTCTCATAATACACTGTACTAAACTACAGGGTATTGCAATAGTCAATCATACTGGATAACCCACGCATTCTGCTAAATGCGTGCTTAAATGTTTTTCTGTTGCTCATTCGCGTCGCACTGTTTATGCAGTTAACTGATATTTTGCATGCCAGATAAAAATGCTGTATGCTATGTGCCGTACCTGTGCGCCGTGCGCATCTGTTATCCTGGCGACAGGCAGGTGAGAGGCAAGCCCAGCGCGTCCTGCCGCTGCTCGCACGCTGGGGAGGTAATCGATCTCATGCGGTTTATTTACATCCGTTATTGAAATTCGCTTTTTGCCTTTGGTTGTTCTTGTTGTTGGCGGTCGCCTTTGTTTTTATGAATTGGCTTTGTAGTCCTTGCTGCTGTCAGTGCTGTTGTTGTTGCTGTTATTGTTGTCGTATTGATGACAATTGCATTTTGGCATGCAGCTGGGCTCCATTTACATCCGGTGCGCGCTTTTTCCAGCAGATTTTTTTTCATTTTTTTTACTTTTTGTTTCCGATTTTAGTTTTATATGTGCAGCCGGCGGAAGTAGGCAACGCATCTTCGCTCCTTAACATATATATCATGACTAACTAGTTTCCTGATTTTAACAAGTCGAAATCAAAAATTATCTGATTGAAAGCTAAATAAAAATTTTCGAATTGAGAAACTAACTCTTGGTATGAAATGATGAAAAAGGGGAAGACCAAAGGTTGATTATGCTTATAAATCATATTATGTATGGAGCGGAAAAATGGCTCATCTTCCTATCAATAGCGATCAAAATGGAATAATATTTATACAAAATATGTTGTAGTCAGTATGAGAATATTTTTATATATTATTATTTCTTTAACCTTAACCAAAAATATTATTTTTTAAAT